GGGTTTGACAAATAGAAAAATAAATAAGTACTTACAAAAAGCTTGTAAAAGTCTTTAAGAAAATGATAAAATGGCTGAAAATATGTTTATAAACGGACGTGTCTTTTTAATAACGAAAATAAATTATATTTGAGTAAAAATTTTGGCATTTTTTATTCCGATATTATTATAATGGTCTTTCAATTTAAGAATAAAAATTAAAATACAAATTAAATATAATACTAACTTACGTTAATATTTAATACCGCAATGTTAGCGAATGTCAAGGACATATTCGTTTCAGAAATAAACCCAGGTCTTCTCACGTGTCTGTAATTAAACCGAGACTCCCACACTACAAACCGCACAAGTTAGGTTTATAACATAACTTGTTAACTGGCTATTTCTGTATGAAGACTACTTATAGGAAGTATTCCAGTAATAGAAGATAATGTATATAAATATAGAAATTGTAGTTGTGTATCGTATAAAGTCATTTAATACCATTTTTATGAGATACGTCGGCAAACACGCAGACTTACTAGGTTCGTTCATCATCATCATCAGCCCATAAGTGAGCAAAGGCCTCTTCCCACACGGAGAAGGTTTAAACATTAATCGCCATGCTTGCTCAATAAAATTATAAGTCCAGGTTTCCTCAAAATGTTTACCTTCACCGTATGTCAGTGGTGTCTAAATAATCATAGAAAGTACAGTACGAAAAAGTCACATTGGTACTTGCCAGGTTTCGAACCCACACCCTCATGCATGATAACGGGCTCCTTAACCTCCGAGCCACCACGACGACTTTATTAGGTTCGTAATGGTAAGCAGTCGGCGCCGCCCATGACCATTCATAATTCCGAAGGAATTTTTTCATTTGCGTTGCAAGTGCGTTGCAGACCTGTTTTGGAAAGCAGGATGGGGATCCGGTCACCCACACATTGTGTAACCCAACGTAAGTGTTGTTTCATGCCATTAGTCCGTGTTTATAGTAACTGTAAAAGTCGTGATAGTAATCCTATCTAGAGTTGTTAAATGTATGTTTATTATTTAAGCAATTTTAATTTAGACGATACAATCGGGCTTATACCGAGGTCTCATAGAAAACTGATATGATTGAGACAACCACAGCATTATGTTTCGCTATGTGATCACTCATAGTTATAGGTTATAGTAGGTCCAATGACCTCTCCTCTTATCCTATATTCCAATCCTCTCATCCCTAATCCACAAAACGCTGGCTACGCACACGTAATTTTTCTATAATATCCATTGTTGGTGCCATTAGCTTGCTTATAAAGGGTATTCGTCTCTTCATTTTCCGCGTTACCAATTAAAAACGTTTTAATGAATCAAAGCATTTCACTGTGTAGTAGGAAGAGAATGAAAAGCAAGTCAGTGACACGTAAAGTAAAAATTTCAAAGGCAAAGTAAAATAAAAAATAGTTTGTAAATACTCGAACATTGAAACGGACACCCCTAGGGGAACCAGTCAATTAACGAAAGATCAAAGTTAAAATTGGTCAGTGAAAATGACCCTCGTTTCTCTTTATCTCTCTCGTTCTGTCTTTCTGTGATGTTCATTTGCCACAAATAAACGTGTAACCACTTGGGGGGTTTGAAAAAAACACAAGTCATGAGTAAAGACAAATAAAAATACTAAGTTTATTTTCTAGGGAGTAGATTGAGGCATCGGAGCTATTAATTATAAAATAAAATTGCTTTATTGTTAAAGAAAACAATAAGGAATTCTGCAAAACTAATTTATGATTTTGTTTATGTTGTTCGAGTAAATCCTTATTTTTCATTCTGATAGCTTCTTAATCCTAAATAAACCTGCTTACCGATTCTTTCGCTTGTAGCATGGGTATTCGCTTTTTGCTAGTTAAACTTTATTATAGGTAAACACAGAAAAAGCGCCTATGTTATGTCTATTGTCTATGTATGTTATGTCCTGCTATCACGTAAGCTATCCCAAAATTTTCTTAGGTTTGTTGCATGTAAATCTAAATCCAAACGTCTCTCGAGAACTACTATCTTGTAAGACAGTATACGAGTATACGTGAGGTCGATGAATATAAATTGAGTAGACGACAGCTGACTCAATGACTGTATGATTGACTGTGACGTAGTGTGGGTGTTAGGTTTGATTACTTTCCTTTACGATTTGTACCTACAGCACCATATATGTATAAGAAATACTTACTACAATTTATTTACTTAATTAGTACCTGAAAGTAATTTAAAAATCCTGGTTGTTATTAAGATTTCCAAAATGTATTTATTACTTTAGCTATCCCAAAGACATTCAAGGTCCTTTTGAATGCACAATCCGCGATAAAACGACATGAGGTCGCTATGATAGAGCGAAAAATATATCTATCAAAAATTATGACATTGGCAATACGTAACCAGTTGATAAAATACCAATATATATAAAGAAAAATGCATTTGTGCAAATACTTGATGCATGTTCCACTTACATAGCACGAAATTGTAGAATTTGTAATGAATTGCGGACTGTCTGCTATTCATATCACTCCAAGCATGCATCGCATGTCAGTAAATCGCTATGTGAAACAGGAATCAAGATTGTATTTCGTATATAAATATTATGACTTCACTTTGTATTTTGTTGCAAAGGTACTTAGGACATAAAAATCGATTTAAAAAGATATTCTATTAATTTTAATAATACTTAATTCTGATAAGGTCCCACGAAAACCCATAAAAATATAGTTCTAACTTCTTCGATAATCTTTCGATTAATGGTATTCGATTCATTTAAAGTACACATTAATTGAACATCTTGAGGCAATCTTGATTCTGGCTTTAAATCACCAACCCACCTTAAGCAAGCTTGGCATTTACCAAGCTTCTGCATAAGAAAGTACCTTTGTTCACCAGTGGGCACTTTTTTACAGTTTTAAGTCGTAATCGAATCGGACACTGTGTAAAAGCAGTATCATAACTATAAAAAACCAGGAAAACTGGTAAAATAAAAAAAAATACGCATTCATTATTCAGGAAAAAAATTATGGTTTGTTAGGTCTCGTTTGATAGTATTTCTAATTCTAGATGTTATATTAGATAGGAACCATTTTAAATACATAATAATCAAATCAACTTCCTAAAATTCGAGCTGTCTTAGCATAGATTCCCTATCTATCATCATAGATATGGTCAGTGTAAATTCAACTTCATCCTACATGTTTTTGGTTTATACTAAACTATGGGTTATTTCATGAAAATAACCTAAAAACAATCCCACCAGGAAAAACACTTCTAGATAAATTTTCTGAATCTAAAAATGTTTTACAAAGAAAAATATCATGTAAAAGGAACAGACAACACCGCGTGCCCGAACGTTAGGCTTATTAATATTCATGAAACACAAATTGGAACTGTGTACCAAATGACCGGACTTTCCTAGGGATTAGTTATCGGAATTCCTTAATTTCACTCTGTGATTAGATTTTGCTAAGTTAACGATAACATTTATTAAGTTGCTTGATTTGATAGGGGCTTCATTTAAGTTAGTTCGTGATTGGTTCGTGATTTTTTGTTTTGGTTAATTATGTGCCGAAAAAATCTGCTTCGAATTTAGCCACTGACATTCGATCACTTACTATTTATGCATAGGTAGGTATATAATCACGATCAAAACTTTACTCTACATAACATTTACGCGTTTTATTTTTGAAGGAGGTTAATAAAGATCTAGAATTATTTTCCTTTGCATTCAAGATACTACAAACTTGATCGTTTCTCAAAACTTGATTTTCGCTATATTTATCACTTTGGCTAATCACTTACCATCAAGTGATCCAATTGCTCCTATTCAATAAGAAACTGACACATAATAAATATAATTTTATTGTCTTCCATTACACATTCATCACTCAGTAAAAATACAAACAATTCATACAGAAGTCAATAACTTTGCGAAAGATACATGATTTGTAACGGTGAACAAAAAAGAAAACAACTTGAAACTGACATTTTCCTTAAACATTTACAAAATAAAAGTGTTAACTAATTATTGCATATTAAAATAACAATGAACATAGCCTAGTCTTTAAATACCGATATTGTTTGAAAAATTTGGAAACTGATCTTAGTTCTTTTTCAAAAATTTGTAATAATTGATAGAGAATGTTGATGTTGATGACAATTACTAAAAGCTGTGACAGAGGTTGTGGAATTGATTTGTAGTTGAAATTACGTGTTAAATTTCAATATTCATGTGTCTGTGTATTTTTGAATGTTCACAATTAAACGAATTAAAATTTTGGGCTGAATAAGGTTCTGCCATAATGCAACTTAAAAGAACTGTAATCAATAACCGATGTATACTAGAAAATGTGGGATTTTTAACTTACATAAAAGCACCCCAGTGGCCCATATTAACAGCGGTAAGGAATAGCAGATCCTCTCCTGACTGAAGGTTCTCAATGATCTTTTCAAGTACCTAATGCAAAAAATCGACCTTCATAGAAAGATTTCGGACTATGATCGGTTGCTATTTTTGGCCACACAAGTGTAGGTACTTTTAATACAACTTTGTTGACCTTTTAGAACACACGATAAAACTTTTAATGACTTTTGACGACACGAAGATCGAGACTTCGTGCAGTACTCTGCTTATAGATAAATACTAAGCCAGTGATTTTTCATTTCTAACTAAAATTGTATCCATGTATAATATATCTATTTAGTTTTACTTATTTCAGACGTAAATCTTCCGCTCTCGTAAATAGCCGTGACATTATGATAATTTACAACGATATGGAAAAACAGATGAGTTTAAAATACAAAATTTATTATGTTGCACACAGTAAATAAGTAGTTTGTTCTGTGATGCTGGATATTGAGGAAGTGTTCATGAAAAATATACTCGCGTAAAATGTATTAGGACTAAATTTTATAACAACTTTTGTTGTATTAATAGTTTTATCATCTAAATAATACTAATGAAGTGAATAATAAAATAAATTCAAAATATTACAAATTCAAAAATGGTGTGCAGCGGAAATGATAATGTAAATACAATAGACATTAGTGTTATAAGTAAAAAAAATAATACAGATGATCGTGAAGAAAAAATATATGAATACGAAGAAGCTATTAATCTGACAGGTAAGGTGGGAAACTTTGCATTATTAGAATATGTTTATGATGTTAATGTAAGAACAAAATTAAATATGATTCAAGCAGTAGAGACAGATGGCATATTGAATCGTTTTACATCCTATTGGCCAAACAAAGAGACAATTTTTTTCTCAAATTTGGAAACTGATGAAGCTAAAGCTGTATTATGCTGATGCCTTTTAATAAATTTGCTAAAGTGTAAGTTCTTGATGACGAGAATTTAATATGATACTGAATAATGTAAATTATCATCATTAGCTGAAAAGGGTCAGAATCATTTTCTTTTATTTCATCTTCTGTATATTTTACAGAAAAAGATTTTCGCTTCGCTTTCTTCAACGTCTACTAGTCCCTGTGTAGTAGTGATTATAAGACTGAGGATTCAATGACACTTACTGATAGAATTTTAAAATTTGGATCATCTTACAGGCAATGGCTGGTACAACCGAGGTCTTCTTACTGCTCTCAGCATTGGGCTGCTTGGAATGGGTATTGACATTTTTGGCTTCTCAGTTATCGTCACTGGCTGCAGTTGTGATTTCAACCTTGAATTATGTCAGAAGAGTACAATGTTATCCATGCCTTTTGTTGGTAAGAGAATATTGATTGTTATGGCTGCAGTGAAAGTCATAGACTTACGAATAATTTCTGATGGGAATGATGACAGGATATAAAAATCTGAAATAAGATTGGTTATTGTGACGTCATTTCAAAAAATATTTAAAATCAATACATAGTTCATGGTTTTTTACTTTTGTAAGAAAGAAAAGGTAATAATGTTCTAAAAAGATGTGTAAAAACTGTTTTCGTTTTAGTTTTTTATCGTTCCTACATTATGTTTTATTTTTTTCAGGGCCAATAGTAATATCCATTCCTTGGGGTTATATATCAGACACTAAAGGTAGAAGGAAATGTTTACTGATTGCTTTATGGGGAAGTTTTCTATCTTCATTTATTGGAGCCTTTTCTTGTAACTGGATCATGTTGGTCATTATGAAGGTTTTTAGTTCTTGTTTGTAAGTACAAGCACTGTTTTAATACGTCCAGACTATTAACAATCCGTAATTTATTTCTCATGCCTTTAAAAAATAGCCGGGTAAATAATAGGTACCTTTCACAGCCTACAGCAGAAGGAACGGGGGGGGAGGAGTTAGTTCAGTGTGATACTCCCTTTTGCCTCACGCTGTGTGACAGAAATAAATTGGTGATATTCCCACCTCCCAAAACGAAATAGCATATAAAAACAGTTAATCTTACTTTTTACAAAATTTAAACATATCCAAGGTTATTTATTTATAAGACTTTAATTAATTTGAGACGTTGCACGAGAGCTAAAATACTTGATAATGTAGTTATCATACCCAATTTCACTCCCTTCTTTTAATAGTTGCAGCGCTGTCCAGTCAGGTGCCTATGCTCTTCTTGGCGAATCCTGTTCGACTAAAGTTAGAGGATTTTATATGCTGATAATGACTAGTGTTCTCATGTTGTTCCTACTATGCTATGTTGGTAAGTCGTATGGATAGAGTTACTTTTATTTTTGTTGCAATTTTGCTGTATGTATGTACAAACGCATCGCAATTATATTATGCAAGCCTCAAAAATGGTTTTATCAAATCATATAATTATTTTATTTTCGTATGTTCGACATTATCTATAAATATGTAAATGAAATATTCTCGAGACATGGCAAATAGCACTGAAGTTAAGTTGGAAAATAAGTTACCAGTAGCGACATCTCTGAATTGACCAGCAAACCATTATCAATATTAAAGAAGTATTTATGTAACTCAATAACAATTGTCACACAAACATATGTTTCAGTAGACCAGGTTTTATGATCACTTTATACGAGAACTCACCGCTTTTATCATTTAAAACATGGGTAAAATTGAGCATGTAATTTTAAATAAATTTGTACTTCTGCTTACGCATGAGGGCAATAAACAAACGTTATACTGAATATATAAATAATATTAACACTTCAGAGAAATGACAATTTATTATGCCATTGTTTAATGACAAAATATAATATATTATGTTGCTGCAACTATACTTAACAGCACGTTTTTCATAATATGCATTATTTACTACTTGAATAAAACAAAATGTTTAAGACGGAATGTATTGAGATTTTACAGTAGCGAGTAAATTGTGTGTTGTTATGCTAATCGTGTGACTAATGACATATTTTATGATCTATTAAAAATAGCTCCATTTATTCGGAAAATGCACTACTGTACATCAAGTTCTTAACTAAATAATATTTTACGTAGTAATGAGTACAAATGTATATAAAAGATAATTATTACATAACATGATGTTTTTCGAATACTAAGCAATGATTAGAGATGCATATATTTTTAATTTTCTAATAATAAGTCCTATGTGATAGGTGGGAACCTATTGTTTTTCAAGTGGTTTTAGGAAACTGTAGCTATGAAAAAAAATTAATTGCTGAAAAAAAAAAATTGTCCGTTACAAAAATCAAACCCAAAATACATCATGCATAAAAATCTTAAATATGAATATCCTTCACAGTTTCTGGCTACTTCATACTCCAAATGACCTTCGCAGCAGATTTGGTCTTCGTTGAGTTCACACCTTGGCGGCTCCTAACTATTATAATGGCAGCTCCTTTAGAAATCAGTGCGTTACTTCTCCATTTCTTTTATGAGAGCCCAAAGTTTCTTGTAAATGCTGGGCGAGAGCGAGAGGCTATGATATATCTTGAGAAGATGTGGTTGAAAAATGGGGGAAAGAATAATGAATATCCCGTATGTATAAATTGTTTTACATCCAATATTATAATTTCACCTTGATAATACCTACTTTTCTTCAATATCATAGTTACATAATAACAATAGAAAATTAGCTAAGAGTATGTTATTATGTAGTTTTAAGAGCTATGTTTGACCTAAAGTAACTTTTACTTGGCCTCAACAGTACTGACAGTTCCTACCCATTCAAATTTCGTCAAGCTAGTTAGTTAGTCAGACTCTTACTGACTAAAAACCCCCCTGTTCCTTCTCCTGCTTTGGGCCGAGGTAAATTTCGTCAGGCTTAAATCCCAAAAAGCAGTGTAATGGCTTTATTTATCTTCCGAACATATTTTTGATATTTCTTATATATAATTAACCTACGAATTTAAGTCATTGACTGACTGACGACAGTTAATTGTTGAGGGCAAAACATTCGCTAGCGTGGCCCACATTGTGTCCCCTTTGGCGTTCAAAGTGTTAAGGATATACGATTAATAAAAAATAATAATTATAACAGTTACTTATATATGTAAAAAATACTTTCTTTTTCAGGTGAAACGAGTGACCTTGAAAGAAGAGGCAAAAGTAAGATTAGTGGATAGTGAGAAAGCAAATCTGTTAGTATCTCTTTTGCGACAAACAATTCCATTGTTTAAACCACCATTACTTTGGAGAACTTTACAGTTATTCTTTTTGACTACTGTCATTTATAGTATGTGAGTATAAGCTGTTGTTTAGCTTTGAAAATACGACAGAATCTATATCTAAACTAATATAGCTTATAATCTATCTATCTCTATAATGCGAAAGTAACTCTGTCTGTCTGTCTGACTTCATTTTCTTCACGCCTAAACTACTGATCCGATGTCTGTGAAATATTGTATGTACATACATAGTTTTTATACCAAAAATCTGCAGAAAGTCACAATTACTGACTCACAATTACGTGAATGGAGCCGCGGCCAAAAGCTAGTAATCGAAATCTAACTGACGATTTTTATCCTTCATTATTATTAAAAGCCAGAGTACTCTTCTTTTTGGGGTTAAGAATTATTATCTCATTTTTTGGTTACTTGAGGGTTGCACTGACGTTATAAGTCAAATTTTAATATTGTTAACTCATTGAAAAGACCTGGACAAAATTAAATTCGATAATTTTCTTATCAACCTCACAAACAACACCTGTCCAGTTTAAGACTATCAATACCTTTGTAGTAATTTGATTCTTTAATTTCAGTAACAATAGCTTAATAATGTGGATGCCGTACATTGTGGAGGCTTTTACAGCTGGTGTGAGTTCTGAAGCTCTATCGGGAAGTTTGTGCAGCATTATTATGAGGATATCAAATGTGACAGCGTCTTCTGATGATGTAGTAAGTGTTATTTTTACTGTTACGAATAGCTCCTTCAAATATTAATGAAAACTCATTGATTATGCTTGATTGTTTCCAGATCGTATGCTCATCATTAATCCAATCCCGAACCTTACTTTCTGGAGTAGTTCATGGAGTAGTCTTTGCTGGCATCACTCTAGCAGTATCGAAATTTGCTTCTAGAAAGAAAGCTATATTGATAGCATTTCTTCTGATACCAATGGTTTCCAGTTTGGCAGCGGTCTTCAATAAGAATAATATAGCTAGTTTGCTTCTTTACGTTGGCATGACCATGACTAATTTATGTATGGGAGTTCTGTTTGCGTATTACGTGGAGCTGTTTCCTACTTCTTATAGGTGAGTCTTATTTAGGAGTTTGAAGAAATTAAAATAAATATGGAATTTGTTAATAGTAATAATTGTTATCGTTAGCATTAAAAGATTTACAGCTTCTTATCTGAAAAATTAATAAAACAAGATACGCTGGATTATAGTTCACTTAACTAATTTTATTAATTATTTGATATATCCGGCTATATATGTAATACGCAGAAAGAAATATATTATCTACCAAAATCATTTTTGGTAACGACTTTAATCCTAAATCATGCAAAAATTTGCCGTCAAATTACCAAACAACTGTTGGGCATTAACCCATCAGGGATATCCCCAAACCTAGTCAAAGAATTGTGTCTTTTCCTAGCTTAGGGGATATTTTACTCCGTTTTATAAACACCATTCATTAAAACTTTGAAAATTGTAAAACTTATTCTCTTGACCACGATTTCACAATACGCAATACGTTGAGATTTTTTTTATTTCTAGGGGCATGGCAGCTTGTCTGGGTGTAATGGTAGCCCGAATCAGTGGTTTGGGCGGCGTGAACTTCCTAGGAGTATTTTTGAGTACAAACTGTTCTATGACCTTCTACGCTTTCAGTTCTTATCTTTTATGTAAGTATTATATTCACATGTATATTTTTATTTAGTTTTGATATATACTTCAGCTATACTGAGTAGGTTCAAATTTCGTTCCTAATCTGCTTAGTTGAGTCAGTGAGTTTTTTCTTTTACAGGTGGCATAATTGTAGCAGCATATTTTTTACCATCCGATAAACCCAAGAAAGTATAGTATGAGTGCGATTTATTAAATATGGTGTTAACATATTACCTACATTGGTTTGGCTTTTCATAAAATTAATAAAAACTTAGAAAGAGTGTTTTATAATAAGTACAACCCAATAACATTTTTAGTGCCACAGATCGGGCCCGCACCTTGTGCTTGGCAATTCTGGAATTTCGGTTTCAAAGAAAACGTAGATTTCTGAAACATATTTTATCTTTTAAATAACTATCTCTACGTTAAGGAGGTTAACAAACAGTTCCTTGAAACATCACCTTTGACTTAATTCTCACTAAAATATAGCTATGTCGATAACCGTCTTTGAGAAATCTCTGAGATTCGGTACACTAACCGTTCAACCGGATTTGACTCCATTTTTCTTACGTTTTACGTGTACTTTTCTATGTAAAGCGTTTGTAAGAAATAATATTCTTGTCACTATCCACTAAGGGTTGTTGGTGTTATGACATATTCTTCTTAAAAATGAGAACTCTTGGGATGACATGCATGATTTATGTTACAGATACTTAATACATGCTAGGCAATAAAAAATTAAAATCAATGTATGAAGAAATAATATATTTGTTTACAAATAAAAAATCCCTTTCATTTCTAATATTCCAGTTACTTTTGTATTAAAACAATTGTACAATAGAATTGTTATGTTTTTACAGGAATTTTCTAGCGATATCACAATGCGGTCGCGTGTGCCTGTCTACATTTTAAATTATAGTTCTGGAAACTGTGACATCAATTCCAAGTTAGTGCAACCTGCGTGACAAAACACGCCATGATTCGAAAGTATTTAGTGACATTCTAGTTAATCTTCGATTCGAAAAAGTTAGTCAGCTAATCAATAATTTATCTACTGTCAACTGCATATGACAAAATAAAATTTAACGAATTATATTTCTGGATAATATAGAAGTAACCTATCAACGGAATAAGTGTTCTAAGATTTCCCTCAGTGACTCGAAGTTATTCCAAGAATTGGATATCAAATACTATATCAATTTCTTTTTAGGATAACTCTTACTTCCTACAAAGCACACAGTTTCTTCGCCTGCTTCAGGCCAAGGACGTGGAACATTATTGCTCCTGCAACCCCCGCTGATCATCCGCCATCAGATCCATTCTGTATTTATAGATCGTTTAAGATTTAAGGGTCAGGGTATTGGGTATTAGGGCGAAAATAACGCAAGCATTAGTTTTCACCTTTACACCTCAATTTTCTACGAAGCGAAGACTCCTGTTGCACCGGCTTATTTGAACTGACACCAAATTAATGCCAAATGGTTTTCTTTATTTCTTTATGAAACTTGGCTCAATTTCTCTAGTACTGTCTTATTTCTGATTAAAAGAAATGGTAATTAGCGTGTTAAATACGAGACAAGCGTTTCTTTAAAAAATAAAATTTGGAGCAAATAAACCAAGATATTTCTAAGATTGTCTACCCAGCTAGTCAGTCGAGGAAAATCGGACTGTTTTCTATTTAAAATTTTTATTTACTTTCTTTGTATGTTAAATGTTTTGTAATGTTACCAGTACTACATAAATCACCCGGAACAAAAGAAACAGGGAGAGTTGCGAAAACAAAACGCAAAAGGGAAAAATTTATCTTTTCGTACCTTTTTCCTTCACAGAATTGTCTCCATTGCTTCTTCACCAGGAAGTCAAAGTCTCCTTTATGTTTCCATTTTTTATAAGTTGATATTATATTTTAAATACAGCATTACTTTTCAAACATGGCATGATACATAAATTTATATAGCAACTATCATTTTGTTGGTGTCGCCATCAATTTCATACATTTTATAATTATGGTTGGTTGTACTTCCAATTTATCAGCAAAAAATAAATAATGTCATAATTAACAGTTTCCAATGTGTAATTTTAAACAACTTCAGACTTCATACAGGATTGTTACTTAAAATCTCAAGGTCAAGGTCGAACTCCACGTACATTTTTCTACCACAATAGCAACAAAAAAATTGCAATGTTTCACCTTATAATAAATAATATTACCATAAAATAATACAAAGTAATGGAGACGACTTTTCCAGGTATTTCTATATATTTCTTTATTACATTCTTCATTCAATGCCATGTCACAGCTTGCTACGAACAAATGCGTTCTATGACATTCCTCCGTAGGAAAACTTTTGTACAAAAACATTACAGTTAATAAACGCTGTACTGTTTTAGAGTAAGTATTTTTGTAGCGTGCATCAGATTCTTTCAGTAAAAAAATTTTTCATAATGTTTCAGGATGGACTTGTGCCAACAAAATTCATTGATATGGCTGATTAACGTACTTTTACTAATAAAATTGTACGGAATGACTTATAATTTGTCGATTTATTTAATTATCAAAATAAAAGTAAGTGATCACATAACAAAAAATAATACGAATAGTTGCCTCACATTAGGATTTTCTCCTGTATCGTGGGTCCGGTTACAAACATACAATTTCAGATACACATGACACCCATGACATTGTTTATTTATTACTGTTACAATATAATACTATTTAAGCACATTTTCCCACAAAACCGGTTTGTCTTTTTCTAACCGAACGCCACCTAAATTATCAGTTCTTTTAGGCTCTGCATTAACATTCGCACACATTACACTAAAAATCAGATAGTACGAGGTACTTGTTAGAATGATTATAAATATCAAACAATTTTTACGTCTAAAAAATCAAATAAGTGACTTCTTGTATGATCGTTCTATCCAAAAATTACCTGAAGGCATAATTTGGTTGTTGCGTAATTTTTTATGTGAAGAGAAAATAAAATTTGTTATTAGAAAAACAAGACAATAATAATTAGACCGTTTGTCTGCCCGAGGTCCCCCGAAGCCGTAAAATTTTCTTGCTTCGTTGCCTACATTGTCTTAAATGTAGGCAAAAATATAACCGTTTTCCCCCCAAAGGGAAGAAAACGAGTATTTCAGATCTTGCCGAGGCTTGACCTTTCGGAGATAACTACCCCTACATTAGAGTACACACATGGCTACTACTTACCTTCTTTATCCTTTGTGTGAGTGCAACCTGCTTAGCGAGCATCTCCTTGCGTCGTCGCGCATGCGCGAGACGCGGCGGCGGCAGGCGCGCGAGGCGTGAGCGCGCTCTTGTTAGTACCTAGCTCCGAAAGCCGGCAAGAACTTGCTCAGGTCAAGCCTCGGCAAGATCTGAAATACTCGTTTTCTTCCCTTTGGGGGGAAAACGGTTATATTTCAGGTCTGTGCCTTCGGCTTGACCTTTCGGAGACGTGTCTATCCTCTGCCGGCGCGCTAAAGCGTACTGTGATGGGGTAATGTGTTACAATAAAACAACAGTATCTTGACATAAGAACAAGTGATTTATTGTCATAAGCTGACAACTATTTTAGGCTACCTAGCCAACTCAACTTAAAAAATAATTTTCTCTAATTTAATAAACAAAATAATGAGATTCAACAGTGACAATCAGTCTTAATATTATCACATAAGTTATAACAATCGTCTTAAGAACTAACAAGCCCAGTTACATTGCTGTAAACGAATCACTAAGAGGGTTGACATCACTATTTCTGGGTTGGCTTACCGGCCTGCAATAATGCTTGAAAAAATTATCAGAGCCTCTCCAGTTCCCCCTTTTCAGAATGTCGTCTACAGCTATATAATTTTGAAAATGATGAGAGGCAACAGCTGATCGAATCGAACCTGGACTATTGGTTATCCCCAGTTCGGTAAAAGGCACCTTTAACCAACCGGCGATAGTAGCTCTTGAGGCCGCTTTTACTACTCCATGGGTCGTTATAAACAGGTGATGCAAATCAGTACGTGCCCTTCTTCTTTTACTTGATAATTCGATCAAACATCTTACCCATTTAACTAAGCTCAAACTTGGGTCTCCTGAACAGGTAAGATGCCACCCTGATTGGCGAAATTTCGCGTTATCAGTCTTTGAACCAAATCTGGGCCAGAAGGTTATCGATGAATCGCATATTTCACAGTGTCTGTCATCAATGCTCAAAAGAGTAAGGTCGTGAATACGACGTCCAGACGCTAACAAAAGAAGTATGGCTAAATGTCTTGACACCTGATAAATACTATTTCTATCAGGTAAGTTCATTTTCAACCACTGAATTAAATCATTAACATTCCAAATCCGCGACTTTGGTACTGTCATTGAACATCTTTGAATGTTAATTGCCTTTAACATGGCAACCACTAAGGGATGGCTAGCTAGCCGATTCTCCTGAGTGGGGTCTGCTAAAGTAACTACTACTGATTTATGCACTAAAATTGTAGCAGGGGCTAATTTTCTAATGCGTGAGAGGTACCCCAAATAAGTTGCTACTTCCTGGGGTCGAGGACAGCTAGGAGTTATACCATTTTGTCTACACCACGTAACCCACTGTTTCCACGCTGCCCCGTATGTTCGCCATGTGGAATCCCGCCAAGCAGACTGAATTAATTCAATATCATTAGGGTCTAGTCCTGTTACCAGTTTGCTCCACCCCGTATCTTCCAGACCTCTAAAAACAACTCTGCTACTTTTTGTGGTGGTTGATTGGTTGACAGGTCCACTAGATTCTTGTTGAGGTTGAATATCTGGTAGGGGGCTTCTAATGCTCTGCGTTTGAGGTCGTTTCTCCAAAATACCGATTCCCAGCGTGGGACAACTACTAGGTACGTCCCGGATGCTCTGTTGAGATGGTGAAGAACTCTGGGTATAAGCGGTGGAGGGGGAAATACCCAGGCTAAATGGTAATTCCAAATTCGGCTGAATGCATTTATGTAAAGAGCCTGGGTATCCCTTGCCTCTAATGAGACGTACACTGGAACTACTGTTGACTGACTCGTGGCAAACAGATCTATCTGAGGGGTGCCCCACCTCGAGAATATTTTTCCAGTGACCTCCTCCCTTAGATGCCAATCTGGTAAAGTGTTGCTTCTCGACAAGCTGTCGGCCACTGAATTGTAACGTCCTGGAAGATAAAATGACTGGAGAGTTATAT